AGTGCTTGAGCGGAGGAGGGGAACACAATGGGGGAAATTATAGGAATGCAGGGATGAACATTTTACGGCGTCGCAGCATGGAGAAAATGGCTAGTTTGGAAGCAGCCTTAGGAGAAAATATGCTTAATTTCCGCAAGATAAACTGCTGCTTAATGAATGTTTATGGCATTGCCCTTGAAGGAAAGATGGAATATAGCCAAATTCCTGCAGCTTACATGATTCATTTTGAGCAAAATGTTCTTGTGCCCTGTTCCCCACTTCCTTGAGTGGCTCAAGACTTCAGGGGCAGCCTGACCCAGATCCAGTTTCCTTTGGATCAGACAGAGCACTAGAGAATCTCAGGGTGTTTTTTTGTGATATTTGCTTTATTTACAAATACCTAAGCAGAGCCTAAGTGGAGGCAAACAGGCCGCAGCAGACCTGCCAGCCAACATTTGACCCCCAGAGGGAAATATCCTGCTCACAAGATGCTTCTTCCATTCAACTAGCCCACAGCTTGTTCCCTCTTTGATCACATAAGCAGAGCCTGTTGGATCAGGCCAATGACCCATGTAGAAGAAGAAGAAGAAGAGTTTGGATTTGATATCCCGCCTTTCACTCCCTTTGTTGTTGTTTAGTCGTTTAGTCGTGTCCGACTCTTCGTGACCCCATGGACCAGAGCACGCCAGGCACTCCTGTCTTCCACCGCCTCCCGCAGTTTGGTCAGGCTCATGTTTGTAGCTTCGAGAACACTATCCAACCATCTCATCCTCTGTCGTCCCCTTCTCCTTGTGCCCTCCATCTTTCCCAACATCAGGGTCTTTTCCAGGGAGTCTTCTCTTCTCATGAGGTGGCCAAAGTCTTGGAGCCTCAACTTCACGATCTGTCCTTCCAGTGAGCACTCAGGTCTGATTTCCTTAAGAATGGATGCGTTTGATCTTCTTGCAGTCCATGGGACTCTCAAGAGTCTCCTCCAGCACCATAATTCAAAAGCATCAATTCTTCAGCGATCAGCCTTCTTTATGGTCCAGCTCTCACTTCCATACATCACTACTGGGAAAACCATGGCTTTAACTATACGGACCTTTGTTGGTAAGGTGATGTCTCTACTTTTTAAGATGTTGTCTAGATTTGCCATCGCCTTTCTCCCAAGGAGCAGGCGTCTTTTAATTTCGTGGCTGCTGTCACCATCTGCAGTGATCATGGAGCCCAAGAAAATAAAATCTCTCACTGCCTCCATTTCTTCCCCTTCTATTTGCCAGGAGGTGATGGGACCAGTGGCCATGATCTTCGTTTTTTTGATGTTGAGCTTCAGACCATATTTTGCGCTCTCCTCTTTCACCCTCATTAAAAGGTTCTTTAATTCATCCTCACTTTCTGCCATCAAGGTTGTGTCATCTGCATATCTGAGGTTGTTGATATTTCTTCCGGCGATCTTAATTCCGGCTTGGGATTCATCCAGGCCAGCCTTTCGCATGATGAATTCTGCATATAAGTTAAATAAGCAGGGGGACAATATACAGCCTTGTCGTACTCCTTTCCCAATTTTGAACCAATCAGTTGTTCCATATCCAGTTCTAACTGTAGCTTCTTGTCCCACATAGAGATTTCTCAGGAGACAGATGAGGTGATCAGGCACTCCCATTTCTTTAAGAACTTGCCATAGTTTGCTGTGGTCGACACAGTCAAAGGCTTTTGCATAGTCAATGAAGCAGAAGTAAATGTCTTTCTGGAACTCTCTAGCTTTCTCCATAATCCAGCGCATGTTTGCAATTTGGTCTCTGGTTCCTCTGCCTCTTCTAAATCCAGCTTGCACTTCTGGGAGTTCTCTCCCTTTAAGGAGTCTCAAAGCGGCTAACATTCTCCTTTCCCTTCCTCCCCCACAACAAACACTCTGTGAGGTGAGTGGGGCTGAGAGACTTCAGAGAAGTGTGACTGGCCCAAGGTCACCCAGCAGCTGCATGTGGAGGAGCGGGGAAGCGAACCCGGTTCCCCAGATTACGAGACTACCACTCTTAACCACTACACCACACTGTACTCTAGTATCCTGTTCTCACAGTGGTCAGGCCCTAACCGGAAGCCCCAAAGCAGGTAAAAGGTAAGGGCAAAGGACCCCTGGACGGTTCAGTCCAGTCAAAGGCACCTATGGGATGTGGTGCTCATCTCAATTCAGGCCGAGGGAGCCGGCATTTGTCCACAGACAACTTTCCGGGTCATGTATGTTTCCGAGTACAATTCAAAATGTTGGTGCTGACCTTTAAGGCCCTAAATGGCCTCAGAACAGTATACCTGAAGGTGCGTCTCCCAGTGGCAGAGCTTCATGCTCCGGCACAGGGGGGCGGAGAGCAGGCTGGCACACGTCCTGGGGGCATGGCGCGCGTCCTGGGGGCATGGCACGCCCAGCGCAGGCTCCCCCCCACACTCCTCTTCCTCCGCCAGGGGCGTCTCCACTCCCGTCGTTTTGCCCGGACACTGAGGTCCAGCTCCGAAGGCCTTCTGGTGGTTCCCTCCCTGTGAGAAGCAAAGTTACAGGGAACCAGGCAGAGGGCCTTCTTGGTAGTGGCGCCCACCCTATGTAGCGCCTTCCCATCAGATGTCAAGGAAATAAACAACTATCTGACTTTTAGAAGATACCTGAAGGCAGCCCTGTACAGGGAGGTTTTTCATTTTTCATGTTTTATTGTATTTTTGATATTTTGTTGGAATCCGCCCAGAGTGGTTGGGGAAACCCAGCCAGATGGGCAGGCTATAAATAATAAATTGTTGTTGTTGTTATGTGGCCAGCATGACTAAACGGCTTCTGGTGCAACGGACACCGTGACGGAAACCAGAGCATACGGCAATGCCATTTACCTTCCTGCCGCAGTGGTACCTATCTATCTACTTGCACTGGCATGCTTTCGAACTGCTAGGTTGGCAGGAGCTGGGACAAAGCAATGGGAGCTGACTCCGCCGTGGGGATTCGAACCGCCGACCTTCTGATCGGGAAGCCCAAGAAGCTCCGTGGTTTAGACCGCAGCGCCACCTTCTCCAAGCTAGTGGCATTCAGGGACACGCCGTCTCCAACTGCGGAGGTGGAACATTGTTCATTTGAAAATGGACCAGAGGCATTTCACAGAAGTTCTTTTCAGTCTGAGGACGGGTGTTTAACTAGGTGCTTTTCAGCTGAAGCTAACCCATTCCTGGAAAGATCTGGTGTCCAAGGGAAGCGCAGCAAACATGTTGTTTGGAGGGAGTTGTGCCAACACCCCCTCTCTTTCTTCCAGGCTGACTCAGGAGGACAATGCAGAGTGCATAAACAGCTATTCATTTTCTTCTTCTTCTAAAGACTCTAAAGAATGGCTTTGCCGGGAGAGACACCACCCAGAACTGTCTCCAATCGCCTGACCCCCTGCAACTCACAAAGGCTGCATTCCTGCCCGTTTTTTTAACCACGCAGGGGCACTTTATATTTTTTTTATTTTAGTTCTGTTTATTGCCAGCCATGTTTGGCAGGGACGGGTGACTCCCTATCGATTTCCATTATCTCAAAGTGTTTTCACAATTAAAAAAAACCAGCAATGAAAACCATTGTGCAATTTCAGATGTAAAAAATGATTATCGTGTGTGTGTGTGTTTAAAAAAATAAAACTCAAAAATTCTAAATCCAGATTAAAGTGGGAGGGGGAAATTATGGGCTGGTATTCTGATGCCAACAACATTGTGTGGTTGGTTGGTGCAAAAAAATAATAATCCTGCACCCTTCTGGGATGAAAGCAATCCACAATTCAACGCCTTCCTCTTTCTCCTTCTATCAGCAACCTGCAGGTGGCATCAGCATTCAGAAGTGAGTCCTTGTGATATTCTGATAGAGGTACAGTTTACAGCAGCACTGGATTTAGGGCAGTGCAGGTGATTCCCTGACACAGGGTGCTGAGCCAAGGTGGGACAAAATGGAGAAGATCCATAGCTGAGAAGATCCATTTGGGGCACCAAATTTTGGGCTTGCACAGGCGCCATGTTACGAAAGATTGTCAAAATCCACCCCTGCTTCCAGCCTTCAGAAAACATAAGAAGAGTGTGCTGGATCTGACCACTGGCCCATCTAGTCCAGCATCCTGTTCTGGCAGTGGACAACCAGGTGGTTCTATTGGAAAACCTACTAGCAGGATCCGAGCACAAGAGCAACTCTCCCTTCCTGTGGTTTCCAGAAACTGGTTTCCAGAAGAATCGCTGCTTCCAGCTGTAGTGACAGAGCAGAACCACCCTGGACACTGGCCATCGATAGCCCTCTCCTCCATGAAACTTTTAAAATAATTTAAATTCAATAAAAACTTTTGAATTATGTTGTAACTAAAAATGTGGTGGGGCCCTGGGGGGGGCAGATTTGGCCCCTGGACTGCTAGTTTGTCATCCTTCAAATTCTCTTCTGAATTGTGGAGTTGGAGGGGACCCCTGGGGTCATCTAGTCCAACCCCCTGGAAAGCAGGAATCGCAGCTGAAGAATCCCTGACAAATGGCCATCAAACCTCTGCCCCAAAAATCTCCAGTGAATGAGACTCCACCACCTTCCAATGCAGTCAGAAAGTTCTTCCAGATGTTTAGTCGGAATCTCCTTTCTCCTAATTTGAATCCAAACTATTTAATGATAACACTTACATATAAGAAAAATGCAATCCATAATAACCAAGAAAACAGATTTCTTGAGGTGGGCCTTACTTTTACGCTTCTGGAATGACAATGTGAATGATGTCAGGGCAGTATTTTTATTTTTTAAAAAAATGCTATATTATCCCTTCCTCCAATTTTCCAGCACCATCTATTTCATTTGCTTTCTTTTTCTTCTCGAGAAAAGGGGACGTTTGAGAGAGAATAGTTTTTTGGGGTGTGGGGAATTGTAATACAGTAATAAAACTTTAATAAAATGATTTAAAAACGAACGAACAGAAATCCTGCGCAGGTTTCTACTGGGCTCCGTCTCTTTTTGCGAGAGCTTCTCCTGCCCTGTTGAGAAGCAACTGTTGTGTGTATGTTTTTTCCCTCTCCAGAGCCATCTGGGGAGAAAAGAAGGAAAGCAGCGGGGAACGGATTTCTGGCTGCGCTGCTTTGAGAAAGACGGATGCCGAAGTTGCGCTTCTGCGCGGCGGCGGCGGCGGGCGATTGAGACATCCTCATTAGAGGCTGGGCGAAGGGAGATAGATCTGGCCCTGGCAGGTCTGTGTGCGTCTGGAGAGCGAGGGGGAGAGAGAGAGAGAGAGAGACTTTTGCAGAGAGGGGAAGGCGTGACCAGCATGGAGAATGCCAAAGGACCTCGGAGAGAGAGAGGCATTCTCTTCCTCGCTCTGTCTTTCACACACAAATCTCTGAGCGAAGATAAGCCCGGCAGCTGAAGGTTTGGGGACAGCGCGCAAAATAACACGGTGTCAACAAACAAAACCGCCTCTCCAAAAGGGATCAAAAGTAATCGGGACCAGCGGAGCTCGCAGGAAAAATGAGGTGAGCTGCTGTCGGGGGGGACGGGGACATCCAAAGCTGTTTTTCTTCCTGAGTCAGATCGTTGCCTCCGCCTAGCCTGTAGCGTCTGCACTGACTGGCAGCGGCTGTCCAGGATTTCAGGCAGAGAGCTGGCGATGCCATTGGGGACTGAACCCCTTCTGCGCGCTCCTCCGCTTCTGAGCTACGGCCCAAACCGAGGGGAAAGGGGTGTCATGGAGGGCTGGCAAGGGCAGTGGGGCACCAGAGAAAAAAATCAGGGGGGGGTGGCACAGAAGGGGCGAAGTATATTTCTAGGCGGGCGAGCTGTGTCCCGCATCTTTAGGACCCTGAGAGAAAGAGAACAGTATCTATTAATAGCAGGAAATTTGGGGGAGAGGCAAATGGGGGCGAGCTCCTTGTTTAGGGGTGCTTGCCCCCCACATCCGGCACCGACCATGGTTATCCACCACCACCATTTCTTCTATTGCACTCTTGCAAGCAGGGGCAGAGAGAAGATTCCTGTTTCAGGGAAAGGAAAAGGTTTAATTCTGGCACTCGTTGGCTCCTAATATTTCTGGAGGCGCTTTATCAGGAGACAGACGGGTGCCAGCTTTCACAAGTGACACCGGGCAGGGGTTAGACTAGATTGACACTCTGGGTCCCATTCTAGGATTCTATGTGGTTCCACTGGAAACGCCACACACGGGGGTGTTGTTTTTGGCGTGTACGTGTGCTTGTGGGGTTTTAAACTGAACTGTGCCTCGTGCTTTCTGAACCATGTGGGGCTCATCGTCACATTTTTGAAAGCGTTCCTGGTTTAAGATGTGGAACTTGAACTGAAACAAAACAGTCTCTCGCTTGCCGGAGCAGCCTTCTGTCTGGAAGGTCCTCTTAGGTTTGGATCTCTCGCTGTCCCAGACAAAAGCCAGGGAGAAAACAAGCCAGAAAAAAGTTGATACCTGCCCTGATCTGATTCGAGGTTCCCTTGAGTTTCCTGGCACTAGAATGCACCCATTCCCCCTGAAAGCGCAGCTGGGTTTAAACTGGAGCGAAACTTTTGATACAGAAAAGGCCAACCTTGGCAGGAATGAAACACCCCCCCCCTTGTTAAAAAAAGAAGAAGAGGAGGGGGGAGGGAGGGGGAGAGAAGGAAGGTTCCCTGTTCCTAACCTCCTGTTTAAGGCACGCTCAAGCTGCGCCCCACATTTTAACACAAAACCCTCTGCTTCTCTTGGGGTTAACAAAACAGAGAGCGCACGCTCAAGCCTAAGTTCCACGCAGAGTAAACATATTAAAATTAATGGATCTAACGCAGACTGTGTACACACTGTAAATTTAAAGGACAATTTCTCCCCTCAAAGAATCGTGGGCACTGTAGTTTGTGAAGGGGTTGCTTCTTTGAAGTATAACTGTGACAGCGGCCCAGACTACTTTGATGGAATGAATGTGCTCTGAAAGTATAATGTGTGTACAGCATTGTCATCATCCAAAATCAATAAAAATACATGGCTAACTGAGGTTCTGCCTCCCCCCCTAAAAAAAAGGCCTGCCCCCCTAACAAAAATCCCATGCTTGTCATGTTCATTCTGCGGGTCTACTTTGAGTAAACTTACCTGACTGCCACCTAATATCAAGAGAGCAGCAAAGTTTTGAATTACACAGACGACTTCTTCAAGGGAGGGTTCCAAGATTTAAGGTTTCACATACAGTGGTACCTCGGGTTAAGAACTTCATTCGTTCCAGAGGTCCGTTCTTAACCTGAAACTGTTCTTAACCTGAAGCACCACTTTGGCTAATGGGGCCTCCCACTGCCGCCACACCGCCATTGTGCAATTTCTGTTCTTATCCTGAAGCAAAGTTTTTAACCCGAGGTACTATTTCTGGGTTAGCGGAGTCTGTAACGTGAAGCGTATGTAACCTGAAGCGTATGTAACCTGAAGCGTAACCTGGTACAGGTACCACTGCAATTCTTCTTTGGGAAAGATTCTTTTCGCAACTGGAGCTGTTGAGTCAGCAAACGGCCTAGCCATGCCTGGTCAGGGATGGACTCTCCTTCCTTTGATGTTTTTAAAATTGAGGTTGGCTGGCCATTTGTCAGGTACCCTTTAGCTGAAATTCCCGTATTCAACTCCACATAAGGGACGCGGGTGGCACTGTGGTCTAAACCACTGAGCCTTTTGGGCTTGCCAATCAGAAGGACGGAGGTTTGAATCCCCGCGACGAAGTGAGCTCCCATTGCTCTGTCCCAGCTCCTGCCAACCTAGCAGTTCGAAAGCACACCAGTGCAAGTAGATACAGCGGTACCTCAGGTTAGATACGCTTCAGGTTACAGACTCCGCTAACCCATAAATAGTACCTCGGGTTAAGAACTTTGCTTCAAGATGAGAACAGAGATCGTGCTCCGGCGGCGCAGCAGCAGCAGGAGGCCCCATTAGCTAAAGTGGTGCTTCAGGTTAAGAACAGTTTCAGGTTAAGAACAGACCTCAGGTTAAGAACAGTACTTAACCCGAGGTACCACTGTAAATAGGTACTGCTGCAATGGGAAGGTAAATGGCATTTCTGTGCACTCTGGTTTCCGTCACGGTGTTCCGTTGCACCAGGAGCAGTTTAGTCCTGCTGGCCACATGACCCAGAAAGCTGTCTGTGGACAAACGCCGGCTCCCTTGGCCTGAAAGTGAGATGAGCACCGCAACCCCAGAGTCACCTTTGACTGGACTTAACTGTCCGGGGTCCTTTACCTTTTTTACCTCAAATCCACAACTCTATGGTCCTATTATTCCTGTCCAGAGGTCCTTATCAAGCTGGCCTCATCATCTGAGATGAGGTGGGTAAGAGCAGGGGGAGGGGGGTAGAGAGATTTACACATTTGTAGGGATGAGAGGGAGCAACGGTGGCAACATTTGTGCCTTCATTGCACTTCTGTTGGCAGTCAGGATCCAATGGCAGAAAGGTCATTGGAGAGTTTGTGTATGAAGGTAGCAGCACTAAGTTGTTTTCTGGTCGCTGTTTTGTTAATGCAGTTACTATTTTACAGATTATAAATGCTGTATTGTTTTGCCAATTATATAATATGACTTTTGCTTTCATTGTGATATTCCGCTTATTTTTCTGTTGTTGCTTTGTTGTAATAATAATAATAATAATAATAATAATAATAATAATAATAATAATAATAAATTAATTAATAATTTATTATTTATACCCCACCCATCTGGCTGAGTTTCCCCAGCCACTCTGGGCGGCTCCCAATCAAGTGTTAAAAACAATACAGCATTAAATATTAAAAACTTCCCTAAACAGGGCTGCCTTCAGATGTCTTTTAAAAATAAGATAGCTGCTTATTTCCTTCACATCTGAAGGGAGGGTGTTCCACAGGGTGGGCGCCACCACTGAGAAGGCCCTCTGCCTGGTTCCCTGTAACCTCACTTCTCACAATGAGGGAACCACCAGAAGCCCTCAGTGCTGGACCTCAGTGTCCGGGCTGAACGATGGGGGTGGAGATGCTCCTTCAGGTATACAGGACTTGTTAACAGTGCCTTATAGATTGTAATTATTTCACTGGTTGTTATGTTAATTATTCCATATGGTTCATGCTAAATTTGTGATGCTCTATTACGTTCCATCGTGTTATTGTTACTTATTGTTTGTAAGCCCCATTGGGATTCATTGGAATTAAAAGTGATGTAGAAATATAATAGATCTAAAAAATCAGCCCCCAAAGATGCTTCTCTACATTACTGCCTTTTCAGTGGCAGGCAAATCATACAAAGCCCCACTCCACAAACTTTTATAAATATACTAGAAATATTATCCACACAGTCAACAGATTACTTTATAACGTGCCCAAAAGTCCTATGTAATATTTATTTCGCTTCATGTACGAATCTTATCCTGTGGAACATCCCCGAAGCGACTAAGAATAAAAACATCATGAAAGGATCCACAAAAGAGTCAACAATAAAAACATATAGAAATGGTTTCAAATCTGCTACAGATGCTGGCTAGGATATAAAGAAAAAAATCCACTTAAAAGGCATATATGGATACGTGTTAAACATATGTATTAGAAATATTATTCATAGGGAGAATAGGGCAAGGGAGCAGTCCTATGGTGGGTTCCACTGGGCATCCCAGCTCAACCAGTGTTCATTCCCCAACTCCAACTAAATTGAAGATACAGTGGTACCTCGGGTTAAGTACTTAATTCATTCCGGAGGTCTGTTCTTAACCTGAAGCACCACTTTAGCTAATGGGGCCTCCCGCTGCCGCCGCGCTGCAGGAGCCCAATTTCTGTTCTCATCCTGAAGCAAAGTACCTGAGGTACTATTTCTGGGTTAGCGGAGTCTGTAACCTGAAGTGTATGTAACCACTGTATGCTGGCATAAATTGCCCATCCCGTCTGAGCTGAGGCCAAGCATAAATCCCCAAAAGGCAGTACAGTGGTACCTCGGGTTAAGAACTTAATTTGTTCTGGAGGTCCTTTCTTAACCTGAAGCACCACTTTAGCTAATGGGGCCTCCCGCTGCTGCGCGATTTCTGTTCTCATCCTGAAGCAAAGTTCTTAACCCAAGGTACTCTTTCTGGGTTAGCGGAGTCTAACCTGAAGCTTCTGTAACCTGAAACGTCTGTAACCCGAGGTACCACTGTATTCTGGGAGTTAGGTGGGACTAGGCAGGGGAGACTTAATCTGGACCCTAACTCTATTCAGCTCAGTCATGTGACATGGTAAAAACAGTAAAGGGTAAAGGTAAAGGGACCTCTGACAGTTGTCCAGTCGCGAACGACTCTGGGGTTGCAGAGCTCATCTCGCTTTACAGGCCGAGGGATCTGGCGTTTGTCCGCAGACAGTTTTTCCAGGTCATGTGGCCAGCATGATTAAGCTGCTTCTGGCGAAACCAGAGCAGTGCACGGAAACACCGTTTACCTTCCCGCCGGAGTGGTACCTATCTATCTACTTGCACTTTACATGCTTTTGAACTACTAGATTGGCAGGAGCAGGGACCGAGCAACGGGAGCTCACCCCGTCATGGGCATTCAAAGCGCGACCTTTTGATCGGCAAGCCCAAGGCTCTGTGGTTTACACCACAGCACCACTGTCAAAACAGTAGTCTAAGTCAGACTCTATTTTAAAGAGTTTGTTATCCCTCTGAAAATAAGGAGAGCCCGCTGGATCAGGCCGGTGGTCCATCTAGTCCAGCATCCTGTTTTCACAGGGGCCAGCCGGATGCCTCTTCCGAGAAGCCTACAAGCAGGATCCGAGCACAAGAGCAACTCTCCCCTCCTGTGGTTTCCAGCAAGTGGGATACAGAAGCATTCCTGCCTCCAGTTGTGGGTGAAGAGCATAGTCATCATTGCTCCCAGCCATCCATAGCCCTCTCCTCCTCCATGAATTTCCCTAATCCCCTTTTAAAGCTATCTGAGTTGGTGGCCATCACTGCCTCCTGTGGCAGGGAGTTCCGTAGTTTAACCGCATGGTGTGAATACGTTCTTTTCTCTGACTTGACCCTTCCAGCTTTCCATTTCATTGGCTGGCCATGAGTTGTAGCATGAGGGGAAAGGGAGGAAAACAGATTGAGGTTGAATCCTGACAAGACAGAAGTACTGTTTTGGGGGGACAGGGAGCGGGTGGGTGTGGGGGATTCCCTGGTCCTGAATGGGGTAACTGTGCCCCTGAAGGACCAGGTGCGCAGCCTGGGAGGCATTCTGGACTCACAGCTGTCCATGGAGGTGCAGGTCAATTCTGTGTCCAGCTCCACCTGGTACACAGGCTGAGACCCTCCCTGCCTGCAGACTGTCTCACCAGAGTGCTGCATGCTCTAGTTATCTCCCGCTTGGACTACTGCAATGCGCTCTACGTGGGGCTACCTTTGAAGGTGGCCCGGAAACTGCAATTAATCCAGAATGCGGCAGCTAGACTGCTGACTGGGGGCGGCCGCCGAGACCACATAACACCGGTTCTGAGAGATCTGCATTGGCTCCCAGTACGTTTCAGAGCACAATTCAAAGTATTGGTGCTGACCTTTAAAACACTAAACAGCCTCGGTCCAGTAGACCTGAAGGAGCGTCTCCACCCCCATCGTTCAGCCTGGACACTGAGGTCCAGCACCTAGGGCCTTCTGGCGGTTCCCTCATTGCGAGAAGTGAGGCTACAGGGAACCAGACAGAGGGCCTTCTCGGTGGTGGCACCCACCCTGTGGAACACCCTCCCTTCAGATGTCAAGGAAATAAGCAGCTATCCTATCTTTAAAAGACATCTGAAGGCAGTCCTGTTTAGGGAAGTTTTTAATATTTAATGCTGTACTGTTTTTAACAGTTGATTGGGAGCCGCCCAGAGTGGCTGGGGAAACTCAGCCAGATGGGCGGGGTATAAATAATAAATTATTATTATTATTATAAAACATTTCTCTCTCTCTACTTTCTCCATGCTGTGCAGCATTTTTATAAATATCTGTCATGGCGCCTCTTGTTCTGACAGGCTTGGGACCGCTCAGCTGGCCATAGCTGTGCTCCTTCCTGGTTGGGGTTTGGATCTGGTGTAAGTTAACTTACGCCAGCTTTCTTCATGCCAGCTTCTTGCATACAGGGTTGCTGTGATGGTCCAATTTTGTCTTCAGAAGGCTTTTCCATCATGTTGTAGCCTTTGAGATAGGGAGGGAGGGAGCAGAGAGAGAGACAGAGGCATTAGAGGACGTCCCTGTCCATATATTCTGAGCAGATTTTTCCTTTGGCTTGCAGCTTCTGTGGTCAGATGGGGACTCTCAGAAGCCTACTTGCTAGAAACCTCAACTCATCTGGAGGAAAAGAGACCCGTGCTCCAGCTCAGCCTCATTAACTGTCCTTGTTTTGAACTGGGTGCCAGATCAGCCAATTAAAATCTCTTCACATGCACACTATATATACCAGTTCAGAGCATCAAACCCCAGAACCCTGCAATGAATTCCTTGGATCATCAGGATGTCACTGCCTCGTGGCTCCCAAACCCTCAGCGATCCCGTTGTTTTCCTAGCCCCACAAATCCCTCCTGCAAGTACAGTGGTGCCTCGCAAGACGAAATTTATTTGTTCCGCGAGTTTTTTCGTCTTGCGATTTTTTCGTCTTGCGAAGCACGGTGTCGGAAAAGTTTTGGAAAAGCTTCAAAAATCACCAGTCTTCAAAAACCTGAAAAAAAGCCTACCACACCGCGTTCTATGAGTTGCTCCTCGAAGTCAAGTCGCAACTGTATTAACGGTTTTAAGAAAAAGGAAACAAACTTGCAAGACGTTTCCGTCTTGCGAAGCAAGCCCATAGGGAAAATCGTCTTGCGAAGCAACTCAAAAAACCAAAAACCCTTTCGTCTTGCGAGTTTTCCGTCTTGCGAGGCATTCGTCTTGCGAGGTACCACTGTACCCAAGTCCAGGGCCAGCCCAAGACCTTTTGGCACCTGAGGTGAACCACAAAATGGTGCCCCCTCCCCAACAGGGAAGGAGGCGAGTTAATAATAATAATAATAATAATAATAATAATAATAATAATAATAATAATTTATTATTTATACCCCGCCCATCTGGCCGGGCCTCCCCAGTGGCTTCCAACAAAATATTAAAATACAGTAATGTATCAAACATTAAAAGCTAAACAGGGCTGCCTTCAGATGTCTTCTAAAAGTCCGGTAGCTGTTTTTCTCTTTGACATCTGGTGGGAATGCATTCCACAGGGTGGGCGCAACTACCGAGAAGGCCCTCTGTCTGGTTCCCTGTAACCTCACTTCTCACAATGAGGGAACCGCCAGAAGGCCCTCGGAGCTGGACCTCAGTGTCTGGGCTGGACGATGGGGGTGGAGACGCTCCTTCAGGTATACTGGACCGAGGCCGTTTAGGGCTTTCAAGGTCAGCACCAACACTTGGAATTGTGCTCGGAAACATACTGGGAGCCAGTGTAGGTCTTTCAAGACTGGTGTTATGTGGTCTCGGTGGCCACTCCCAGTCACCAGTCTAGCTGCCGCATTAGTTATAGTTTCCAGGTCACCTTCAAAGGTCGTCCCCACGCAGAGCGCATTGCAGTAGTCCAAGCGGGAGATAACCAGAGCATGCCCCACTCTGGTGAGACAGTCCGCGGGCAGGTAGGGTCTCATCCTGCGTACCAGATGGAGCTGATAAACAGCTGCCCTGGACACAGAATTGACCTGCGCCTCCATGGACAGCTGTGAGTCCAGAATGACTCCCAGGCTGCACACCTGGTCCTTCAAGGGGCCCAGTTACCCCATTCAGGACCAGGAAGTCCTCCACACCTGCCTGCCTCCTGTTCCCCAAAAACAGTACTTCTGTCTTGTCAGGATTCAACCTCAATCTGTTAGCCGCCATCCATCCTCCAACCACCTCCAAACACTCACGCAGGACCTTCACCGCCTTCACTGGTTCTGATTTGAAAGAGAGGTAGAGCTGGGTATCATCCACATATTGATGGCATATTGAAGATCTACATCAGGAAGAAGGAGGGGAATGAAGATTGACATTGGGGTAGGCTGCCCGTGGATCCTGCCACCTGAGGTGATTGCCTCACTTTGCGTCATGGGTGGGGCGGCCCTGCCCAAGTCCCTCTTCTTTGTGTTACTTATCACTTGATCAATTTCTGTTTTCAGCTCGAACAAGCTTCAAAGCATAGGGATCGGCAGAGAGTGGAAGATGGGCACTTACACACAGAGGGAGATGAATCGCAATCTCCAGATTGCCAGATTTAAAAAGAGTAAATTTCTAGCTTCTGAAGAACCTGAGATATGAGGCAAAATGTACAGGCACTAGTCTCCACTCTCTTTTTGGGAGAAACTTAGCTGGTTTCTCAGCCCCCCCCCCCCCCGAAACCTAGCTGGCTTTCCATCCCTCCCCACACAGCAGAAAAATTCTTGCAGACACCACCCTGGCTTCAAAAAACTATTATTTGAGCACAGGTTATGAAATAAAGGGTATCTATATTATAACATATGCAGGTTATACCAGCTGGGGACTGAGAAGGAATTTCTCACTTCTCAACCTTAAATGCAACCGTCCTTTGAAATGCACACTTCTCTGAATTTTGCAGAGCAGTTCTCCAAACAAACAAAAAATGTGCATATCAGGGGAAGCTATGCATTAAACTGCATATATCAGTGAAAATAATGTGCAAAAATAAAATGCGTTCTAGCAGGGGAAAACACTTGCGGAAGCATGTTTATTTGGATAAACACGCACATTAAAAGGGGACTTATTTTCAGGAGGACTAGAAAAACAAGAAGCTGAAAGAATTCACCCATGTCTAACACAATTCTTCATCCTTTCCTGCAGATGCTTTGGATTATTGGGTTTGATGGGGGTTTTATTTCCATGCAACTGAAGGGCACCAAGTTGCCACGGACTGGGTTCTGCAGTTCTGTGCTGTTTGCTTAATGTTTGAATCCCATCCTTCCTCCGGCAAACACAAGCTGGTGCTGAATAGGAGAGTATCCGAGCACAATTCAAAGTGTTGGTGCTGACCTTGAAAGCCCGAAACAGCCTCGGCCCAGTAGACCTGAAGGAGTGTCTCCACCCCCACCGTTCAGCCCGGACACTGAGGTCCAGCTCCGAGGACCTTCTGGCAGTTCCCTCACTGTAAGAAGCCAAGTTACAGGGAACCAGGCAGAGGGCCTTCTCGGTGGTGGCACCTGCCCTGTGGAACACCCTCCCACCAGATGTCAAAAAGAACAACAACTACCAGACTTTTAGAAGACATCTGAAGGCAGCCCTGTTTAGGGAAGCTTTTGATGTTTGATGCATTACTGTATTTTAATATTCTGTTGAAAGCTGCCCAGAGTGGGCAGGGTATTATTATTATTATTATTATTATTATTATTATTATTATTATTATTATCTCCTTTCCTGTCATTTGAATCCATTGGTAGTCATCACGGTCTTTCTGTGTCTCTCCTGCAGGTACTTCCTGGTCTGGTCCCTTTGTGCCTTCCACCTCGTCAAAACAGACACCATTGAACTGTCCGACATGTTTGGGGAGATCCAGTCCCCAAATTATCCAGACTCCTACCCCAGCGATTCAGAAGTGACTTGGAACATATCGGTGCCGGACGGCTTTCGGGTCAAGCTCTATTTCATGCATTTTGATCTCGAATCGTCCTACCTTTGCGAATATGACTTTGTGAAGGTGAGCGTCATTGGCTCTTCTTCATTCATTGATTTCATAAAAATTTTATACCACTGAATTGCAAAAAGAAAAAAAGAGGAGGAGGAGGAGGAAGCTTCCAAGTGGTTTGCAAGAAAGCTAAAACAATAAGTAAGAATCATTGATAACAATAATTTAAGGTATTTGGAAAGTTAAAATAACAATGGACCAAAACCAGATTAAAACTCACATCAACATTCTAATAATCTGGGTAAGGCATGTGCCAAAAGAGTACAGCGAAGGCACCTTTCTGATATCAAGTGGCAGGGAGTTCCAAAGCGTAGCTGCTGTCACACAAAATGTAGCAGTTGGTCTTGGCTGGGGATGAGTAGGTTCACCCAACCCCACATTCCATTCCTTTTTTTTTGCTTCAAAATTTCACTCTGCATTACTGACCCGTTCTCTTTAATTCCCGTTTACACAGATTGCACAGATTATTCCAGAGTTAAAGGATATATTGTTTGCCACACCGTTCATTTCTTTGCACCTCTTCCTCTGCTATGTTTCCATGTTGCTTGTGAACTCTTGACATTTGCGTTTTCCAAAACACTGAAAAAATAGGCACCTGCATGCCTGTATCAGTGTAAATCTTCTTTAGCCCCGTTTGTATCCAGCTGCTGAGATTCACAAGTAGCGAGAGCACTGCTCCCATTGACATAAGCAGTTGTGCTCCAAAACATCTGGGTAGGGGAGGATGGTCTATAGTCTGACAGAGATTTTTTCTGCAGGTTTGCACCAGACCTTTGGTTGATTGTCCTCCAAGGCCCTTTTAAAATGTATTTGAGGAGGTTATTGGTGTTAGAATTCCTGCTCCATGACTGCAGTCATGGGATTGTTGTCTTTCACGTGACGGTGTATGTTTTGACTCCACAGAGTGGGAAGTGACGGAGACAGGATGTTTGGGTTCCTGTGTTCCGTGAAGTGGGACTTTGTTCTTTTTCTCTTTGCTATCTGATGCTAGAGAGAGAGGGTGCTCCATGTCTGTTTAAATGTAAATAAAGTAGATTAGACAAAATGCTGAGTTGCTGAGGTCTGTTATGCAGGATGCGCAAAGTCTGCAGATCCCTAAGTGTGCCGGTGTCAGTTGGCATCGGTCGCTGTGATGTTCGGGCAGAAGAAAGCTTTTGAAGCTCCCGAACGATCAACCAGGAGGGAAGGAACATGCCATTCAAGCATGTGTCTCTGCCAGGGTCCTACTCGAGTGTAGACTGAGCTCCTGACAATTGGAAGGTTTCCGTTTTTATTTTGATTGTGTGCTTTGTGTTTTTATGTTGTAATTTGTATCCTGAGGCCTGCGGGTATAGGGCGGCATACAAATTTAACAGCAACAACAACACATATAAAGTGTTCCTGAATATCTGTCAGGCACCACCAAGAGGCTGTTAGTCCCTGATAAGGAACCAGTTCCCCAGCCCCGAGGGAGACTCAGTGGGGAAAAGGGGCAGGGAGGGTGACTTGCCCAAACCTGGAGCCATCCTTGCCCACCATCCCACGACAGAGAGAGAAAAAGCGAGTGTGTGTCTGAAGCTAGGGATAAGGACCCTTTGCCCTCTACATCCTCTCTCAGTTCCTATTTATGTGACATTTGTTTTCCTTCGTTCCATTTAAAACACATTCTGTCATTGTTCTGGCTCATCCAGGATAAAAGACATCTCTGGAATCTCCATTCACGCCAGCTCCCTCCCTTGCGCAACGCTCTCAGACGTAATAATTGCTTGCAGCGGTTTGGGATTTAAGTGCGCTGTTCCGTGGAGGCTGTCAAGTAACGTTGAGGACATAAGGACCAGCCCGACTGGATGGGACCAGGGATCCCTCTGGCCCCAGTATCCTGTTTGCAACTGGGGAGAGGCCCCCAACCCAGAAGCCCACAAGCAGTGCAGATAAAAGAAAGGACTGGTTCGTGCAGTTCATGGTTAAACCGTGAAACTCCCTGCCACAGGAGGCAGTGATGTTGTTGTTGTTGTTTCGTCGTTTAGTCGTGTCCAACTCTTCGTGACCCCCTGGACCAGAGCACACCAGTCTTCCACTGTCTCCTGCAGTTTGGTCAAACTCATGCTGGTAGCTTCGAGAACACTGTCCCACCATCTCATCCCCTTCTCCTTGGGCCCTCCATCTTTCCCAACATCAGGGTCTTTTCCAGGGAGTCTTCTTTTCTCATGAGGTGGCCAAAGTCTTGGAGCCTCAGCTTCACGATCTGTCCTTCCAGTGAGCACTCAGGGCTGATTTCCCTAAGAATGGAGAGGTTTGATCTTCTTGCAGTCCATGGGACACTCAAGAGTCTCCTCCAGCACCATAATTCAAAAGCATCAATTCTTCGGCAATCAGCCTTCTTTATGGTCCAGCTCTCACTTCCATACATCACTACTGGGAAAACCTGGGCTTTAACTATACAGACCTATACGGAGGCAGTGATAGATGTCTTTAAAAGAGGATTAGACAGATTCATGGAGGAAAGAGCTATTGTGGCTCTGCTCTGCTCCCACCAGTGCTTCTGAATACCAGTTGCTGGAAACCACAGAAGGGGAGAGGGCTCCTGTGCTCATGTTCTGCTCACTGGTTTCCCATAAACAGGCATCTAGTCGGCCTCTGTAAGAAAAAAGATGCTGGATAATAATAATAATAATAATAATAATAATAATAATAATAATAAATTTTATTTATACCCCGCCTTCCCCAGCCAGAGCCGGGCTCAGGGTGGCTAACATCAATAAAATTCAGTGAAAACATAATAAGAAGGTGGGGAAAAGAAAAAAACCATTTAAAATACAGGTTAAAATGCAATTTAAAATGCAGCCGCAATTTAAAAGTCAAAACCATAAGGGGAGGGAAACAGAAGGGTCAGACCGAGTCCAAACCAAAGGCCAGGCGGAACAGCTCTGTGTTGCAGGCCCCGCGGAAAGATGTCAAGTCCCGCAGGGCCCTGGTCTCTTGGGACAGAGCGTTCCACCAAGTCGGGGCCAGTACTGAAAAGGCCCCGGCCTTAGTTGAGACCAGCCTAGCCACCTTGCAACCTGGGACCTCCAAAATGTTGTCATTTGTGAACCTTAAGGTCCTCCGCGGGGCATACCAGGAGAGACTAGATGGGCTATTGGCCCTTTTCTATGTCCTTATATTCTTGCAGTCCAAACAATCTGGAGGGCGTCTGTTTAGGACTCGTGATGTATTCTGTGGCCTGAATTTCAGGGATCCCATGGGCGGTTTTCAGAGCTCCTTGGATGAAAATCAAAAAGGAGGAGGAGTTTACAAAGTGTTAAAAAGTTTGAAAAACATTGTCAGGAGTGTGAGATGTTGGCGACTACTGCCTTGCAGATGTCTGTGTGATTCCACCTGCTTGAAGCTCTGCTTCCCAAAATAATTAAAAACGGAGAGGGGGTGGGTCCTGCTTTGATTTTCTCTGGCTTTGTCTCTCCTTGCTAACAGCTGCTTGCCCTTCCTGCTTATGGTCCTTGTCTTCCTCTGCCTCTTCTCCAAATGCAAAGTTCAGAGCCTTATGGTAAAAAAATATATATGCATGAATATACCGTATTTTTCGCTCTATAAGACACACTTTTTCCCTCCTAAAAAGTAAGGAGAAATGTGGGTGCGTCTTATGGAGCGAATGCAGGCCTGCGCAGCTAAGCCAGAAGCCAGAACAGCAAGAGGGATCGCTGCGCAACGATCCCTCTTGCTGTTCTGGCTTCTGGGATTCAGAATAATTTTTTTTCATGTTTTCCTCCTCCAAAAACTAGGTGCGGTCTTATGGTCTGGTACGTCGTACCCTGACCATTAGGTCCAGTTGTGACCGACTCTGGGGTTGCGGCGCTCATCTCGCTTTACTGGCCAAGGGAGCCGGCGCGCAGCTTCCAGGTCATGTGGCCAGCATGACTAAGCCGTTTCTGGCAAACCAGAGCAGCGCACGGAAACACTGTTTACCTTCCCGCCGGAGCGGTACCTAGTTATCTTCTTGCACTTTGACGTGCTTTCGAACTGCTAGGTTGGCAGGAGCAGGGACCGAGCAACGGGAGCTCACCCCATCGCAGGGATTCGAACCGCCCACCTTCTGATCGGCTAGTCCTAGGCTCTGTGGTTTAACACACAGCGCCACCCGCATCCCCTGGTGCGTCTTATGGAGTGAAAAATACAGTAAATAGATCATTTGGTATTGCTGCTGCCGTTTTTTTTGTTTTTTTTAATGTGATGGAGGTGTAAAGAAGAAAATGTTGGAACCTGCCCAGGTTGGGGAGATGAGTTATCTCCGCCGATATCACTGTGTATGATTCAGACCTATCACGGGTATGACCAACTTTTCTGGGTGGGAGGTTCTCCAGAGAAACTGAGATCCCACGTCGGTTGCTAAATAGCTGCTATCAGGCTGACATGAAAAGTCTTGCTGCCATCCATCAGATGGGGAAATGTAAAGTTCTTTTTTGCCAAGTGCTTGTCGGCTGAGGAAGGGGCAATCCATGCAGCTGTTTTGATGGTGACTCGCAAAGAATAGTACACACAGCGCTTTTTCAAACACCAAAGTATTTTATGGGTAGTACACGATGTGATCTGTTCATCACACATGCATGCAAACACGGGCATGGGCAGCTGTCATGATAGAACCCAGGGAATAGGACCATTGGGGATCAAACTGTATAATATATACCGTACTTTTCCATGTATAAGATGCCCTCATGTATAACACGCCTCCAGAGTTGTAGAGCTTTTTGCGGGGAGGCTGGTCCTAAGTTGTGGAGCTTTTTTTATACAGTCATACCTCAGCTTGCGAACGTGATCCATGCGGGAGGCACATTCACAACCTGCAGCGTTCGCAACCCACAGTGCCACATCTGTGCATGCGCGTGAGGTGCTTCGGCGCTTCTGTGCATGCGTGTGATGTCATTTTGTGTTTCTGGCATGCGCGAGCACCAAAACCCAGAAGTAACCCGTTCCAGTACTTCCGGGTTCAGCCCAGTCCACAACCTGAAAACGCGCAACCGCAGCATTCGTAACCCGAG